AATGGTTTACATTTCAGAAGTATAATCATTTTTAATAAGTATATCTGTTTATTTCTCCTAATCATAATATAATAAATATAATAGGGTTACAACCCTAACAAAAATAAGAGCAATTTTCCAGGTAAATATGAGGCTATGGAGGAAATATTTTAACAATAAACAGAATTACAAGCACACTAGAAAGGATATTTTTAATCTTGTCATTTTGTAATCAGTATTTAAGGGTCCTTTTGTAACTCCCATTGTTTGTCGTCTAAACTATAACACCCCCAAAATCTTTGCGTGTGGTTTTTCTTCCACCTGAGGAACTAGGATGACTGCCTCTCCCTGTCATTTCACCCCCCAAAATCATCAAAACACTAACTCAGACGTGGGAACCATTAACTTATGACCGTGGAAACCGCAGAGCAGGGAGGAAGCAGAAGTAGGGAAGGAGCGTGGAGCTGGGTGGGAGCCCCTGCAGACAACGCCAGGCCCCAGCCGAGGGGCCGCGGGGCAGGTCATCACGAGAAAGGTCCCCAAGGCCTAAGAATAGAGACACAGGTGACATGAAACTGACACTACGGAGCTTCCTGGCACACTCTCACACAGATGCTCCCATCTTGTCCTCAACTCGATCTCACCTGAGCTGAGAAAACTGGTCTGAACAAAGTGAGGAGGAGACAAACACGGGACCCTCAGAAAGGGCGCGGCTGGGGCCACGGGGCCAGAACAAGGCCAGAGGATGGGCGCGAGCCCCAGCTCAAGGCCCTCCCCACGAAGAGCGGCCCTTCACAGTGTTCCTTTTCTACTTCAGTGGGGAAAGGGTCTTTTATGAAAGGCTAAGTCGCTTTTTTTAGAGAAGAGAAAATCAGCCCACCTCCTTGCTCGGGCCAGACATCCCCTCTGAAAGGAACGTGGTCAGGGCAGAAGGCTGACAGTGACGGCCACAAGGACGCGCACCAGCACGTGCTTATTTCAGGTGCTCTCAGTCAACCACGGGAAAAGAGGGGCCTCTGACCCCGGACTCCACACCAGTGTGGTGGGACGGGAGCTGGGGGAGGAGCACCTGCACTCCCCGTTGGAAGGACAGGAGTGGGCTTGACTCCCCAGCGGCACCGAACGACAGGAAACCCTCACAAGGTGGAGGAGTCTAGAAGAGGTCCATACACTGCCGAAATCTCTGAGCTAGAACACAGAGTTTGGGGACGAGTAACTGCACACTCTTCTGAGCTGATCAGAGAAGGTGGTGAGACTGTCACGGGGCCCACGGGACGGAACAGGCCATATGGCACTGCTATGGCAAATCTGTCAGTCCCAGTGTCTGCGACCTCGAGTCGTCTTTAGATCTGTGGTGCCGGGGTCCAGATCAGCGCTGGCCCTCCAGCCGCAGGGCAGAAGGAGAGTTTCACCGGAACGCAGCCACTCCAGTCTGTCTGCCTACTGCCCGTGGCCACAAGGCAGCAGCTATGGCAGAGGCCACACGGCTCACAGGCTGGAATTATTTGTCACCTGACGCTTTTGAGAGAAGTGTGGAAATCCCCACCCCACACAAAAGCAACCCGAAGTGAAAAACTTGCCCTCCACGACTTACTTATACTGATTATCAACAGAAGCCCAAGGTCAAGAATTGCAGAAAGATCTATTTCCATTAAGTAACAGAAAACACACACCTTTCTAAATTTTATACACCGATTAAGTTCTGTTCACTTATACGCTATTCTGATTATCTCTGTATATAACTATTACGAAATATCTTATTATATAAGCTCATTATTAAAAATGTGGATAGTGTGACAGCTGTTCTTCTGACAAAGGTCACAAAACAACCCTGCTCAAAATTGAGGAACGCGCCATGACCGCCTGTCCTCCTCTCCCACTGCTACTAAAAACCATGAAAAAAACCTCGAAGTATTCTCTTTAGAATTAAAAAATACTTGAAGACACATAACACATAAGAATAATCCAACTATTAATCACCAAAAAAGGAGTCAGCAATTTAGAAGTTTCATAACTCTGAGTAGACGGTCCTACATGTATGTGTAGGTTTAAAAACTCTCAACTTATCTGCACATAAAATATATTTGATTCCAATTATATAATGTTGTTTACCCATGCCCTATAAACATAAGGGAGAAGGAATTAAACTGAAACATTTAGAAGTATGAAGAAATGTTCATTGAAACTCTTGTTATATAGTGATAGAAATGTGGAGGAATTGCTGATAAAGTAATTCAGAGCAAACAGTAATCATACATGTCATTGTGAGACACCCTCAAGCATCAGAGTAAGCTGGCTATCATGTTTTATATACAGTGCATTAAAATACCTACCACGTTAAACTTGAGCAAGTACTGGAAGAGACAAATATTTTCATTTCAATGACACCAGGAATGTGGACAGGGTGCTTCTCTGTGCAGCCACAGTGATGTCACACATTTTTAAAATACCAAAACCTATTTTTTTTTTAAATCAAAGGAAACAAAACCTGAAAGGAATGTTGGAACTTATTATCTAATTAAGCAACTTTTTTTCGAAAACTGCATTAAATCATCACTCTTCAGATGTACTGAATGGCAATGGCTACATTACTAATACCCTACAGAAATATTTTGAAACATCAGATCTGGTTCCTAGGAAAACGGTGTTTAGTTCTAGATACATTGTAAACATCTCTAATGCTATCTCAAACCACATATTTAAGTGGGGGGAAAAACAGTAAATACACGATAATTAACAATAGTGAACTGTTCGACATAAACCAGAGCCCCAAACTGTCCACTGAGGGAAGGGAAGCAGGAGCACCAGCCGCACTGGACTCGGGTCCCTGCGCCTGCCACGCTGACCTGCGCAGGCTGAGGACTCGGCCTGCGCTCCCCACGGCGTCTGAGTGCGAGCGCTGGGGCTCGCCCACGGGGGACCGCGTGAGCGGGACAGAGGACACGGATCACAGAACCGGTCTGAGATAGGGTTAGTTTAACCGTGGGAAGATGCCCAGGTCACTGTGGAGTCTGACCCTGAGGGGAAAACCAGGTCGGTCCCTGGGGCCACGTGTAGTTGGCTGGGCAGCCTGGCTTCCCATGCACCCAGCCAACCTGTGGGTCGGAACGTGCTGCAGGGGCGAGAGGACGCCAGAGGCTCCTCGCCCTCGTGTGCACACCAAACGCTGCAGGCCTTCGAGCTCCGTGGCACAGCGCCCCACGGCACAGCGCCCCAATGGCACATCGCCCCACCGCCCACAGACTTCCCTCCCGGGAACTCTCGCACTTTGGCGCAGCCCTGGCCGGAAGTACCGCCCCCCAGCGGGAACCCTCCGTCCTCGTCACTCATTGGCTGCGGAGGCCGTCAGTGCTTCGGGAGCGAAATCTCTGGCCTGCACCTGGCTGGCTGCCGGGGCCTCCCCAGTCCACAAGAAAGCAATCAGCCCCCCCAGCCCCACCCTCCAGCACACACACAACAGGGTCCTTCCCCTTTTATATAGCAGGCCCGTCTCCCACCATCCCCATAGTTTCTGCACTCGGACTCCTCCTGGAGGCAAAGTTTTTAAGCTCCGCCTCCTCTTCCCGAGCCCAGCCAGCTCCCTGGCCAGGGCCAGAGGATGCTGCGGTTTTAGAAGTGAACCAGTGAGGCCCGGATCTCCCCGAGGCCAGCGGAAGGTTCGTTCCTTCCCTGGCAAATGAAAGAACTTAAGTTTTACGTTAACTATCTTCCGTGCACTGGCATGCCTTCACCACTGCTGTGGCCACGCGTACCGAGCGTCCACTCATCAGGAGTTGCCACAATGCATCACAGGGCTACTGGCCTCTCGCTATGATTCCCCGCTGCCAGGTTTATCGGGTCGTCCTCAACACACCACACACTGAGTTAAAGTACTGGGCCACTCTTCGACCCACCCGCGGCAGCTGGCGCTCCTGCAGGGATTGATGGATGCACGTTCTGTACTACCTGACGACACCCCTCAGTCACTGCGCGGAGTGCACACGCTTCTTGAAACTCAGAATTCCTCCAAGGAGGAATTGGAAACAGCGGTTGTAATTACGAGTACGCAATGCTCTACAAAAAAAGGGGCATCTGATTTTTTTCCCCCAACTGCACCCTGCGGATCACTAGTCTCAAAGGAGCGGGAAAATCATTTCATTTTGTAACATATCTCTGACTTTCAGTTCCGTCACCACCATTGCTCAAGGGGGGGAGGGGGCACATCTTACTGTAAAGTAGTATATGGTTAGTATTTGTCCCTTACAAGGACGATGGCAATGTGAGGACACGATTGATTTGTTGGATACCTCGTGTCCCAATGCCTACAGAGTACAGAAAAGGGGCAACCTCGCTGCAGCATACGCAGGGTTGCATTCTCTTCCCGGGACTGTCCTGGGCAACATGATCCTCCCACCTTTCTCTTCTTTCCTTCGGGCTCCCCTTCGTCTCTCTGGCTTTGGCCTCTATTTTCAATTTCCTTCCCACTGCCACCATCGCCACCCATGATGGCTAGGGCCTTGCCATCCCTGTCTCTGGCATTCCTCACCCTAATGGAGTCCCACGAAACTCACTGTCCAACAGGCCGGTCATCCCGCGCTTCTCAAGCCACTGGGGAATCCCACCAGCTGCCCTCTGCCACTGAACTTCACTCTGCCAAGTCTGGCTGCGGCGGAATCCTGACAGCTAGGCCTAACCAATCAGCGACGGAAAAATAACTGAGGCCGCCAATCAGCACCCGCCGGGCGGCGGGAGGCGGGACTCCACCCAAGTTCCTCGGGTCCTGAAACTGAAGACCTGTTGCCGCCGCCGCCGCTGCCGCCGCCACCACCGCCGCCGCGGGCGCGCAGTTTCTTAGTTACCGCGGCCGGAACCGGTGCCAGGCGCAAAGCCTCCGCCAGTGCCAGCCCACGAGCGGGACCAAGCCCCCGGCTCGAGCGTGGCGCGCCCCGCCCGGCCTCCCAGCTGCGGTCACGGAGGACGCCAGCGCGGCCTGGACTCACCGGCCCCATCCGCCCCGCGCCCGCGACCCCACAACGACTCACCAGGAAGCGGGGAGTTGTCAGTTCTGCTGCCCGCGAGGGGCCTGGGGCTGGCGGGCAGGCGGCCCAGCGAGGCAGCGCCGCGGAAAGGCCCGCAGGGCCGAGAGCTATGGCTGCGGGGCCTGAGCCCAACGCCACCTCGCGCCACGCTGCCCCTGCAGACGCTGCAGGTGCGTCCACCCACCCTCTCACGGCCCCGCAGGTCCCGGGCGCGAGCCTAGCAGCAGCCCATCCTCCCGCAACTGCTGCTCCTCCTCGGGTGGACGCTGCTGTCAGAAGTGTAAACATCCCGGCATCCCCGAGGAGAGGGCGGGGCATCCTCGGTCACGCCCACCGCGCCACCAGCCACGCCCCCTCCCTCCCCCCCCCTCCCTCCCCCCCCCTCCCCCAGCCCCAGGGCAGACTCTGGGGTGGTCCCCGCCGGCCTTCTCCAAAGTGCCCCGCAGAGCAGAGAGAGCCCCGCAACCTTACCCTGGAGCAAGGCAGACCTCCTCCCACACATCGCTGCTGCTGTCGTCCGGCCTGGCGGTGCGGGGGAGCATCGTTATTCCCCACCCCGCCCCGGCCTTTGGGCCAACCTGCTTCCCACTAGGGGCGGGGGTCTCTCCCTGCTTTTGGACAAGCTGGTTTTTGTTCACCTATATTTAAATGTCCCCTCTTGCAAGCAGTGAACCCAGTGGGTGACGGCCCCTTTCTTCTGGGTCACAGTGCTGGGATCCCATCCTCTCTTACTATGGGGTTTCAACCGCCTGTAAGCTGAGCTGAGCGAGCCTGCGTTAAAGTCCCAACCTGGTAGCCAGTGGCTCTGGGAATGTGTCAGAGAGGTGAGCGGCCCAGCTTGTACCTGCGCTCTTAGGGGGGAGGCTCTGCATAATATACACTATAATATACACACACATTCATATCCCAAAACCCCAGCACAGGAGCCGCCCAAGGCGATGCTTTGCCTCCAGCCCCTTCCAGGCTTCCGTCACTGGACAGGCACTAGTGCGGAAACAGGAGGCAGAGTGCAGTCAACCACACCTCGATTTCTAATCCCAGCTCAGTGGCTGTTGACTCTGACCTGGTGGCAAGTGGTTTCACCTCTCTCAAGTATCAGTCCCTTCATCTGAGAGAGGAGACCACAGCAGTAATAAACACCTGTCTCTAAGCCAGTGGCGAGGATTACCTGAGATGATAATGCAAAGTATTTAATAAGCCCACGGGCCCCGCAGGTAAGAAGTACTCATTACACAGTGTGTATAAGGCCCACGTTTTCGTCCAAATTCTTTAGGGAACCATGAGGGTGTGCATTATACGTGGGTATAATGATTACGTCCCATGGGTACAATATCGGGTATAATAATCCCGGGCATAATGTGCTGAGAGGCGTGGGTGCTCGTCAGACACCGCAAAATACAGTCGTCGTCACTGCCCCCAGGTCTGGTGACCAGTTTGCCTTCCCGACCAAAGGGGTTCAAGCTGAGCACGAGGAGGTTATAGCTCAGATACTTCAAGTGTTAAGGCTATGGAATTAAGATTTGGAAAGTTTCTTTTTGGAAGGAAAATAACTTGAGATCTCAAGAGAAGGTGTTGAGTCCAATCACTCTAGAAGTATTTACCAAGGTGCTGGATGTGGTTCTGAGCAATCACGAGACACAAAGGCCCCCCTTCTCCTGGGGTTCCCACTACAGTAGAAAAGGCAATAATAATAATCCTATAAGTAGGTACTATGTCAGGTGGTGATGCGCACAAACACGGAGATGTCTTCCACAGGAGACGTGGGGAGGCGGGGTGCTGTCTGGGACAGGCTCACCTGAGGCTGGGGCAGAGACCTAAAGGAAGGGAGGCAGTGAGCCACCTGTCTGCCCAGAAGTGGAGCATTCACGGCAAACCCACGGACCCTCCTGGAAGCGGATGTGGTTTGTTTGAGGAATGACCAAGAGGACAGAGGTCAGAGCAGCTGAAATCCGAGGAACAATGGGTGAGCAGGTGATGTCAGAAGAGGGGGTGGGGTACAGCAAGGGGACAAATGGAGGGCCCTTTAACTTTGAAGAGGTATTCTGAAAGAAATGGCAAATCGTAGCAGGAGTGACCGAGCAGGACTCGGGTTGGGGAGAGCACAGCTGTACTGTGGGGAAGAGCTTAGGATAGAGAAAGCTAGCACGGTGGGCTATTCTGATGGGCAGGTGGAAGACACTGATGACCTAGACCACTGTGCCGACAGCAGAGTGGACAAGAATGGCTCCAGATGCATTTCTAGACACGGCCAACACGCTTTGCCTGTGGACTGGACGGGGGAGCGGCAGGGAGGAGCCGGCGATGTTGGCATTTGAACCGGATCATCTGTGAGGTCTCGCCACCCCGAGATCAGCCAATCGAGCATGAGCAGCACCCCTGGAGTCGCTCACAGGCACCTCTTGCAGGAGAAATAACCAGGTGTTCCCAGGGTAAAGACATTTCAAGGCAATACAGAAGGCATTTCTCTTTTACAAAATGAAGATCGACCAATGATCGATAAAACAGCCCAGGTTAACTAAACCTCAGATCTATCTCTAGACCAGATATTTCACTGGTTTCCAGTGCAAGGAAAACAGCCACTTTCTGAACACTCACTGATAGGCAACTGGATCCAAATGAGCTCGTGAAGCCCCAGGGGCTGCACACCTTGTCTTGGAAGTATCCTGACAGTGGGGACAGGGTGGCCAATGGGTTGAAATCATCTCTATGCGTCCTATTCTTCACCTTGAAAGACCACAAAGTCTTTCAACCAAGTGGTAGGGTCATGTTTGCAAAGTCTCGGGGACTGTCAGAACTGAATCCGCTGAACTTTCTCCCTGTGACGTTTTTGTCACCTGTGTGGTAGACAGGGAATGCTGTCCCCAGCCTCTGGCCCCTGGCCTGGAGCAAGTGCTAATGGAAAAACAGAAGCCTGGCCAAGGAAACTCCTCTGGTCACAGAGACGGCGACAGCAGAGCCCGGCTCACTCTTTCCTAGTCGTCTCCCCACCCGGCTCGGTCCACAAACGCTCCTCTGGCCCAATGAGAAACGTTCATTCCAGTTCTTTTCACAGGAGTGACTGAGTGTTTTGTCTCATTGCCAGGCAATGCGATACACGCCACTCATTACCAGATTAACTTCGCTGTAACTTTACTTGCTTATCACGCTAAAAACCTGTCTGTTTACACCAAGTGGTCACACTGTGTTAATTCACACAGCTTTGCCAGGCCCCACACAATTAAAAATCTAAAAAATCAGAGGTAGTGTTGATTATCAAAACCGATTTTTATCCATAGGCAAACCCAGCCCAGGTTCCGCAGGAAGGCGACTTGTCTGTAAGGAGAGAGGCTTGCTGGAAACATTTTTTCCTGATGAAGGATGATGAGGTAATATTAAAAATAATTCTCCTTTGAAAAGGATCCTAACCACGGAGGGGAAGACCAGACTCAAACGCGGCGCTGGCAACACGTGGATTTAAAAAGCTACCGGGCATATTGGCAGCCACCGAATTTGGCAGCTCCGCGGTGCTGAGGCTTAGTCAAGCTGTTGAAATGTCTGGACGGCCAAGAGGAGGAAGTTGAAGTGCAGACGGCAGACGACCCAAGCGAGGTCACTCCTCTCTGTCGGGCCCTGGCTGTGGCCACTGCTGTGCCGGAAGATAAATCTTTCTCATGCTCTGGAAACGCTCAGGAAAAATATTAGACAGCGATGTTTTCACCTGGATGGCTCCATGCATTTCACTGTCAATAGGTCACGCAGATGAGCTTTCAATGAAAACAGTCCGATCAGCCCCGGCCGGGTGACTCAGTTGGTTAGAGCGTCATCTGGGACACCCAAAGTCTCAGGTTCCATCCCTGCTGGGGGTATTTTGGAGGAAACATACCATTCTCTCTCTCTCACATCGATGTTTCTCACTCTCTCTCTCCACCTTCCTCTCTCTAAAGTCAAACATATCCTCTCATGAGGATTAAACAAAGGGATTTAAAAATAGAAGGGCTTCCAGTCAAGATGTCAACATAGGCAGACATGGCTTGCCTCTTCACACACCACATCAAAATTACAACTAAAATATAGAACAACCATCACTCAGGAACATCATTAATGGACTTGAATAGAAGTCTGACAACTACAGAATTAAAGAAACCACATCCATGCAGACTGGTAGGAGGGGCGCACATGTGGTACGGGCTGGTCCCACATCCACACGGATAAAAATCTGGGAGGGCTAGCTCAGGAGCAAGGAGTGCCAGCCGCACACCAGACCCCCCAGCCCCAAGAGGATAAGTCCCCACAACTTCTGAACCAGCGGGGGCTGAGTTGGTGGAGGAGGCTGTTGGAGCCCTAAGCAGTTCCTCCTGGGGAGCCACACAGGGACTCACCTACTCAGACCTGCTCCCTCTGGGCTGCGGCACCACGGTGGCAGCTTGAAGGGCAGCAGCGGTGCACAGGGAGAGACCAAAGTGTCTGGCATCGGGGCAAGCGGAAGCCACTGTCTCTTTGCTGAGCCTTCCCCGCAGAGAGGCGGTAGGCTGGTGCACACATCTGAGACTCCATCAACCTGGAGATCCAAAAGGCTCCACCCCACCCCAACCTCTGGGCCCATACCCACGGCTTTTCCGCAGAAACGGCTGCTCTTGGCTCCTACATCCTCTCAAACGAGCAGCAGCTGGCCTCAGTGAGCCCCAGGCCCAGCACCAGCAGCCTAGACTCACAGTTTGGCTTCACTTGGGAATCTGCAAGCCCAGCACAAGGAGCAGCCATCTCGGATTGCGTTATAGCTCAGGCAGGGTGGCCCAGGCAAAACACAGGTCATGGCTGACCCTGGCCTGCACCACCCAGAAAAACCCTGGACCAGCGCACCCAGTGGACACCACCACCTGCCCCGGCACAGCCGATCCTTCTCCAAGGGCGGAGGAGCTTGGCGGTCAGTGGTCACAGGCAGTCCTTGCAGCTGACCGGCCTGGGTAAATCCCTCCCATTGACCCATCAACAGCAACCAAGGCTCAACTACAAGAGGAGGGTGTACCCAGGCCACACAAAGGGTGCATCTCGAGCACCCAGCTTAGGTGACAGGGGAGGCCGTGCCACTGGACCCTACAGGACACCTCCTACATTGGGCCACACTATGAAGACACAGAGTCACAGCCGCTCTTCCTGATACATAGACTCAAACGCGGGGAGGCTGCCAAAATGAGAAGACGAAGAAACATGGTCCAGCCCTTTTCACAGCAGTTAGAGAACTGAGGGGACATTTCAGTCATGGATACGTATATATACACATACGTACATATACACACACATAAACAGACACATAGATA